TTATCATTCTCTACCTTATTTTTTGAGACAAAGTCTTTCACTGACCTGGTGCTTACTGATTCAGCAAGTCTAGCTGACCAGCAAGCCCCAGCGCTAGGATTGCAGGGAGAAGCCATCACATCTGACATTTATATGGGTGCTTGGGATCCAAGTCAGGTCACATGCTTGTGTGGCAAGTGTGTTACCCACTGAGCCATTCTCTCAGCCCCTGGCAACACTTTGAAACAGTGCTTTGGGTCAGCACCTCCTCTCACTTTCTCAACAGTTCTTGGAGCCCATCATCACTTTTCCCCAGTTCTGAATCCTCACTCTGCTTGTCCAAAAGATATCTGATCTTCCCTTCATAGCAAACAGGCCATGATGGTGCCTTCTCCCACTTTATGATGCACTCCCTAAGCTTGGCCTGCCCTCATCCTCATTTCCTCAGTCTCCAAGGAAAGCCTGACTCTGATGACTTCATTCCATCATCTCTTACTGTCCCTCAATCCTAGGGAGACTGCTCATCAAGTATTACCTTCCTCATGCTTTAAAACAGTTTTTAAATTTTTATTATGAATGCGTGTTTTGCCTGCATGTATATGTGTGCACTCATGTGTACAGTGTCTGCTGAGGCTAGAAGAGGGCATTGGTTCCCCTGGAACTGGAGTTATGGATGGTTATTAATCACCATGTGGGTGCTGGGAATCAAACCTGAATCCTCTGCAAGAACAGTCAGTGCTCTTAACCACTGAGCTGTCTGCAGCCCCCATTCCTCATGCTTTTGACACGTCTCATTTCATTACTTTTCAGCCAGCCAATAAACATGCTCCTGTTCTTCCCATCTAAGCACTCATATAGACACAAGCTCTACTTTCCTTTCCATCCCACCCCCTTACCTAAGTTGCTGGGAAATTAATTGACATGTATTCTGTGCTTGTCTCTTCTTCTTCTCAATCATGTCAGTCTGTTCTGTCCCTACCACTCATTGAAAAGGCCTTGACAAAGATCAGTAATGACCTTTATATAGAGTAGACTCTTCAACACCCTTCTTTCCTGGCTTCTCTGTAACATTCAGTATTGTGAGTCCTGCTCCCCGACACTCTGCTGCCTTTCCCCACCTTAGTTCACACCACTGGCTTCTTTCTTTGTTATGCTCATAAATCTCTGTTCACTAGGTTTCTATGCTGAGGGCTATTCTCTTCCTGCCTTCCCTGGCCAACTGTTCCCATTGCTCTAGATTTCACTGCGTAAATCATGACTGAATCATCACCTCCAGCCCAGACATCTGCAGACCTCCAGGCTACATACTTAACTTTTTTATTATTGGGTGTACGTGTACATTATGTGGGGTGAGGACACATGTGCCATGGAGCATATGTGGCATTGGCAATCAGAGGACAACTTTGTGGAGTCTTTGCACCTTTATATGGGATCTGAGCCAAAATCAGGTTATCAGGCTTGTGTAGCAAGCACTTTTACCCCCTAAGCCATTTTACATATCCCAATAATCTACTACTCAACAGTATCCTATGGATGCTTTTTTTCTTGTTTGTTTTGTTTTGTTTCTATGAGGCAGGGTCTTCCTGTAGCTCCAGATGGCTTGGAACTTACTATATAGACCAGGCTGGCCTTGATCTCACAGAGATCTGCCTTCCCTTGCCTCCTGGTAACTGGGGAATAAAGGTGTGTGCTACCACACCCAGCTAACTTCTGGATGTTTAAAACAGGGTTGCCTTTTCTTCTTTAACTTTTGTATATATTTTCAATCTCTCTTTTTAAAAATTATAATTACAATGATTAGAATGATTATAATAGATTTACACACATATGTGCATACAATACACACATAAAAACATATGGAAAGTTTTTTTTAAAAGACATAAATGGAAAGACATCCTATGTTCATGGGATGATACTTCTTACTATGCTTAAGAAATTAATGCTACTGGGGGCTGGAGAGATGGCTTAGTGGTTAAGAATGCTGGTTGTTCTTGCAGAAGACCCGGGTTCAAATCCCAGCGCCCATATGGCAGCTAACAACTGTCCGTAACTCCAGTCCCAGGGGATCCGACAGCCTCTTCTGACCTCTGCAGGCATTGCATGACATGGGTGCACTTACCTACATGCAGGCAATACATTCATACACATAAAATAAAAATAATAAAGTTTTTTTAAAAAAATAAAAAAAAGAAATTAATGCTACCTAAAGTGATCTACATATTTATTGCAATCTATCAAAACCCCAGCAGTGTTTTTGGCAGAGCTAGAAAAATCCACCCAGAAAGTCATGCAGAATCTCAGTGGATCCTGTGTAACTGAAACAATTTTGAAAGAAAAGAATAAAGCCAGAAGTCTCAAACTTGATGGTTTAAAATTTTATTACAGGGGTTGGAGAGATGGCTCAGCAGTTAAGAGCATTGGCTGCTCTTGTAAAGGACCCGGGTTTGATTCCCAGCACCTACATGGTGGCTAACAACCATCTGTAACTCCGGTTCCAGAGGAATCCAATGCTCTCTTCTGACCTCCATGGGCAATGCATGACATGGGTGCACTTATATACATGCAGGCAATATGCTCATATATATAAAGTAAAAATAATAAATAAAAAATAAAAAACATTACAAGGTGATGGTAAACAAGACGATAGAGTATTGGCAAAAAGACAGGCTGGGTCAGGAGGGACTATCTGTCTTCAGCCATCCTTCCATAGGTAACATGTGAAGACCTAAAGAGCAGGTCTCTCCTCCCAACACACATGAGCATTCCTATCTCCAAGGTGAGGCCCATCAGCAGACAAAATTATCCCTATCCTGTCTGATGCATTGGAGGGATGAGAGGAGGATGCTCCTTCAAGATAGATCCCAGATAGAACAGCTTATCTCCTCCATCTATTTAAGTTCTCACTGGGGCCAGTAAAAAACTATTCTGTTGCTCCCTCTGGTCCACTTGTTTCTATGTCCAACACTTAATAATGCATGCTCAATGTGGAGAACTTGCATAGCATGCCTTGGGTTCATCCCCAGCTGGGGGATCTGCTAAGGGGTTAGAACTTCCTGCCTTTCCTAAGTCATAGAGGTGTTGGTTAGTCTGGCTCCAAGATGGGGAATTCTTTTTTGAAATTTTTTTGAGACTGTTATGCTGTCTATATGTTATTTCCAACCTTCCCTCATCCTCTAACTCCCTCACAATTTGTGACCTCTTCTTTGATTATTATTTTTAAAATATACATACACACATATAAAAGCTACTGCGTCTGTTTAGTGGTACTTGTGTGTACATATGTTTAGTGCTGACACGTCGGGCTTGTCCCTGGAGACAGATTTATGTCCAGGGTGGTTGTCCCTGGAGAAAACTGATATATTCTCTCTCTCTCTCTCTCTCTCTCTCTCTCTCTCTCTCTCTCTCAGCAGCAACTGACTGCCTGTAGCTCTTCATTTAGAAGTGGGACCTTGTGAAATTTCCAAGATGGGGAATTCTTTCAGGTCAGGGATCATACCATAATCCATATTTGTGCCTACTAGACCTGGAACAAAACGGGTGCCCAATAAACGTTAAACAAATGACTGAATGGTGAGATCAGAGCAGGGAAGTCTTCACAATAGCTAACTAGTCTACCCCAGAGAGAATGGACAGTCTGAAGTCGAGAGCCACAGGGCTCATGTGGGTCTGGTAGGAGGGAGAGATAGCAGAGGGGGAAGGAAAAAATGATTCATATAAAGCCCAGGTTGCGGATGAAATTCACACCCTTGGGTATCATGTTTCATCCTCTCACTCGCAGTGTAGACATTTGTCTGTCTCCAGTGTCAGCTCCAGCAGAAGCACCACCTTTCCAGTGGCTCAGGGCCCAGATTCCACAGGCTTAGACCCCGCTTGGGTTGTAAATTAGACATTATCTTATCTGACTGATGGGACTGGCCACACTGCTGCCACTAAGATGCTGGTGTGTGGCCCTTTCCTGTATTCAGTCTTTGGCCATTTTTCCTCTCCTGGAGTCCTGGATTCTCAACAAGGAGTAATCAAAACATCAGCTTTTTTTTTTTTTTTTTCTTCAAATCAATACAGTGTCAGCATAATTGACACCCTTTCAAACTCAGGTGCATCAACTTTGTAAGCTGGAAGAGTTGCGACTAGTTGTTTCTTGTGTGATAAGATGGGTTCAAAAACAAAACACTAAAAAAAAAAATCAAATAAACAAAACCCATTAAGCTATAGGTAGAACTCTGAACCTTCCTTTTTTTTCATTTACCCACCTTTAGGTGCTTCTGCGGGATCCCCAGCTCACCCTCTGCATTTCCAGTGCAGCTCTGGACAGCTGTAAATCTTCTGCTTTGGAGGGGAGAAACAGGCAGTTTTCACAGGTTAATTTCCCTGCAACGTTTTGTGTGAGCTTTTCTAAAACCCAGTTCCTAAGGCCGCTACTTTAAGGCATTGATTGTTCTGTCCAGCAGGGACAGGACAGCCGGGAAGAGAGAGCCCTGTCAGTGAGAATTTACCAGAATTTATTATCCGCAGAACCGCGCGGTAGAGGCTTTGATTAGGTTCTTACTGTGTGCGTGGATCTTCCCAAGGCTCTCTCATTTAAACTGAGCGTTGCCTTCCATCTCTCCACTGGCCCATGGAGTCTTACGGATAAACAGGACTTCAGAGTCTGTTGGTGGATCTGGCTGCAACTCCAAACACAAGTTAAGACTAGAATTCTCCCACACAGATAGCTTGTGGTTTGAGAAAAAAGACGAGGGCGGAGTTTCTCAAAAATGGATCGTCTGGAACCGGTATTTAGGGAATCCGGAGAAAAACTCATACTGTGAGGCGCTTAGCAGGCTCTAGGTCCTGGGTCCTGGGGCCTCATCCCTCCCCGCCCCAGCCAGAGCCGCCTGTTCCTGTGTCTAGGGATGGCGGGGCAGGGAGGCCAAGGGGGCGTCTTTCTCTTTGAGAGCCCTGCAGGCAATCCTGATTGGCTGTAGTTAGGCAGGTCTTCCTTCCGTGCTCCCAGAGTGTACCCACCTACGTGGTGATCCAGCCTCCCTCCATGACCCTCCCTCCGGGTCCCTCCTCCCCGCCGCTCCCGCCCCTGGCTCTCAGCAGAGGAGCTGCGCTTTGACAGGTGACAGGCCAGCAACAGATGCCAAGGTCTGCATCCTTGGGTCACTCTGAAGAGAGAAGGAGCCCGAGAAGAGGACAGGGAAGAGGGGCGCGAGGAGGATCCCACAGCTACGTCTCCCAAACCATGCCAGGCTCCGCCACGGACGCGGGCAAGGTCCCCTTTTGCGATGCCAAGGAGGAAATCCGTGCGGGGCACAAGGGATCGGCGGCGGGCGGAGGTAGCCAGGAGAAGCTGGGCGATCGCGTGGAGCAACTGAGCATCGTCTGGAGGAACGTGGTCCTGATGAGCCTGCTGCACTTCGGGGCGGTGTACTCCTTGGTGCTCATCCCCAAAGCCAAGCTGCTCACTCTGCTCTGGGGTAAGTCCTGCCGGCGCCCACTCTGCCGGGCACTGTGGAGGGTTGGTCTCTAGGCCTCCAGTGGTGCAAAGCACCCCGGCCGTCCCTGGCGCGCTGCCCCCTAGGCATCCAGTACTCCACCTTTTGGGGTCCGCAGGTATTTCTGCACAGATAGTTTCAACTTCTGCTTGCTCCCAGCCCTGTGGTCTGCCTCAGTATAACCATCTGGTGGCTGCCGAAAGAAAGCACAGGGACCCAGTTGGCGCGCAAAGGAGAGGCTAGGAAGGGGAAGATATGAATCCAGCTCTCAGAAGTGTGGACACGGTGCAGTGCTCCTATTGCCTCTGTGAGTCCTGGGGTTCAGTCTGCCACCCGGGGTTCTAGCTGGATCTCCTTTTGGGGTCACAGGCCTTGGGGCTGAGGAGTTAAGACAGCGAACTAGTGGAGATGGTGGGTAGGAATCTGTCTGCAGGATTGAATTTTGTTCGTGCACCACCAGATGGAAGAAACCAGGTCCCTCCCTGCCTCACTGATGCCTCCATTCTTGTCAGGCTGTCTTCTATGCCCAGTTATATGCAGTTCTGTTACAGAAGTTTTTCAACAAAGGAATGAGCCCATGGCTAGAGCACAGGGTCAGTCATCCACCTGGAAGTGTGATGGCGCAGCGTCCTCTCCAGGCCCTTTCCCCATTGGGCCAATCTGTTCCCCACCTGTGTGTGTATTTATGGCTTCCCTGACCCCAGTGACTGGTTTTGGTTTCTGTCAGTATATCCAAAGACAGTAGCCAAGACAAAAATCATAGGCATTGACAGATTGGGCCCGGAATCTGAAGAGGTAACCAGAGAAGCCCTGTTAATTCCAGTTTCTCAAATCTCTAAGGAACCAGGACAAGGGAAGCACAACTTGTTTTTATTTCCAGAGGGCAGAGAGAGGAAGCCAATGAGAAGACTTTTTTCCTACAAACCTTATTTGGCATAAGTCTAGGACCACTGGGGGTGCCAGGCTGCCCTGTGAAGCTCTGCAGAGCCTATTTGTGGTAGTGAGCCCATTCAGAACATGGGTAACTCTTAGGGGGGATGACTGAAGAGGGAACTCAGTGTTGAGGGATGGTGAGAGAGGCAGAGGTCTTCAGGAATCCCTAAAGCCTTTAAGGTACCCCATCACTTAATTCTTTGCCTCATCCCTTCCCCTGCTCAATCCCCTCTTCCGTTGCTTGTCATTTCCACTGCTATCTTTGTTAGGTGGTTTAATTCTCTTCCTTCCTCTCTACCTCTAAGTGACAACAGTGTGTGATGTTCACCACTGCTCAGTAGACACACTCCCATACTGGCCAACAAAGCCCAGTGCCTTGTCCAGCTCTGGCTCTTCACTCAGTTTCCAGATGCAAGGCTGTGAATTGAACTCTACAGCCCACCAGCCTCTAGGGGCTTGGGGCTGATTTTTAAGAGTTGTACTGTCTGAGAGCACTCAGGGAGAAATGAGCACTTAAAATATTATCTTACATGCCCAAAACTCCATGGTGCCCACAGGCTCTGCGCCTTACAGTCTCTGAGCCCCAGGACCCTGGCATTAGGCCAGGAACCACACAATAAGGTCCTCTTCCCTAGGTTTGCAAGTCACCTCTGCCCTTTCCAGACTGTTCTCAGTGGCAAAGATGAAATCTTTTTGTCCTGAAAGACCTTGACCAGAGGACGTGTCCCTTAGCCCTAGATTCCTATAGCTGCCTCAGAGAAGCCAACACAGCAGGAACCTGGTTTCCCCTCTGTGGATGAAGCTGCCAGGTTCCATTTTTGTGCCTCCCTGAATAAACCTGCCTTGAACAGAACTCTTCATCAGCTCTGATCTCTAAAACTTGATACTCTCCTTACCTTCACTGCTCTCTAAAAAGTGAAGAAAGAGACCAAACAAAGTAGTGGATATAGTAGTTTCAAGATCCACAACTGTGACTCAGACGTATTCAAAGCAATGGATTTTATCTGAGGGGGGAAAGAAATGAGACCATCAGATTCTGGCCAAGATTGGTTGTGATGACAGCTAGGCTCTGCTGGGTAACCAGAGGGACTAGGGGGACTACTGACTCACAGTTACTTTCAGTGAAAGACCCACACATCTCTCCAAGTTGGAGTTATTTTCCCCCATCTTCCTTACTGGTTCAATCAAGTATTAGAGTGGAGTTCTTGCCCCAGTGGACTGCTCATCTACACAGGGATTTGAGTTGCCAAGGAAACAGGCTTAGCTCATCCATTGCTTGTCATTCTCCACCCCAAGTGAGGATGCTGTGGAAACAGGAGCAACCATGCAGTACACCCCTCAAGGGATGTGTTGGGGGATGTAGTAAGCAGGGAGTACTTTGCATAGTGGAAGTTGCTATGCATGAAATATCCATCAGGTAGTTCATTTCAGTCTCCTTCATGTCTGACACACTCCTCCCCCAACCTTTTCATGTTTCTCTTAGGACCACAGTAAGTTGTTTCCCCTATTGATCCTTCATTTTCTGAGCAGACAGGATGTCAGAACAGAATGTACTTAGTGTCTGGAGGTTCCTGGGATGAGCTTAGGAGTCTTAGGACAAAAGCAAACTCTAAATGAAGGAGAAACCTCATCTGAAGATGAACCCACAGAAGTGGCAGTTTTGAGGCTCCTGCTTAAGGGCAGGTAGGGAACACACAGAGTCCTGAGCTGGAAATCATAGTATCAAACATCCTGGGGCTATTTCCCAGGGGGGCTGAAAGAAGATAGACCATCTTCAGGCAGTTCTCAGAATTTGGCTCATCATCTTCAGGCATCTGGTTGTTGACTGCCAGAAATGTCAGGAACTTTTCTGGTTTCTTCCTAAATCTCATCAGAGTCTCCTAAATGTGCTCCTATGGAGACATAATAGTTTTTTTTTTCAGTGTGTGTGTGTGTGTGTGTGTGTGTGTGTGTGTGTGTATGTGTGTGTGTGTTTGTCCTCGTGTATAGAGTGTGAATGCGTACAGGCTATGGCATACATGTGGAGGTCAGAGGACAACTTGTCAGTTCGCTCTATCCACTGTGTGAGTTCCTAGTATCCAACTCAGGTCAGATTTGGTGGCAAGTGCCTTTACCTGCTGAGCCATCTTACCCACCCTGACATTCAGTGCAACACTTTACCCTACCTCTCTCTTGTTTGTTTGGTTTTTTGTTTGCTTGTTTTTGTTTTGTTTTGTTTTGTTTTTTGAGATAAAGTCTCCCTGGAGCCCCAGCTGATCTGGAACTTGCTATTTAGACCAGGCTGACCTCCATTTCACAGAGATCAGCCTGCCTCTGCCTCCCAAGTGCTGGGACTAAAGGAGTGTGCCATCAAGCCCAGCTCCTCCCCCTCTTAAATGGATCAGCCACTCTCCCATCCTGCCCCAGAGCAGATGCAGCCACAGTGAAGGCAGCTGCAGGAGCCCCTGTGCCCTTCTGTGCTGGAAAGTCTGGACATCCTGAGTGAGCTTCAGCCTGTGGCAAGGAAGCTTCTCAGCTTCTCAGCGGGAGAGTAGCAAAGTGGTGTGAGGGAGGGGAGTAAGTAGAAGCTGAGGTACAGGGTCAAATTCTGAGAATGATCTCAAGATGAACTGGATGACCTGTACCCACAACCTGAGGTCCTGCTGTCTTTGTTGGATTATGCTTATATTCCATCAAGTCCCTCAAGTTGTTGAAGAGCCCCCAGAATGCATAGCGATGGAGCTGTCTTCCCTCCGGGTTTTCTTGGACACACAAGTCTTAAATGGGAGACAGATCTGAATGGGAATCTCTTCATTCTTACCGGCTGTATGACCTTGGGCAAATTTCCATCTCTGAACCTGTTTCCTCACCTGTAAAAATGAGTCTATTGATAGTACTTACTCATAAAGCTGTGGAAATTAAGTTAGATAATATATGCAAATCACTTAGCACAGTGCCTAGCTCTTGGTTGGCCTTAAGTAATTACCAGCTCTCATTAATATTATTGGACCCGATACCAGTCTTTTCATATGGTAGAAGGATGGAAGACTTTCTTGTAGCACAATAGATTGGTGCAGAACTTGGCTTCACTGTCTGTCTTGTTTTGGCTTTGGAAATAAAGGCTCTTTCTCAAAATTCCCAAAGAGGGCTAGACATAATCCCTCTGTATTCCCTCTTTCCCCCAAGCCCTTCTCTTTGATTCCATCCTCCTCCTGCTTAACCCCAAATGAAGCTGACAGTCTTAATGTGCAAGTGACCGTTTACCTGGCTGATTGGAGTTTTTGAGCACAGACAGTTATGATTGCTGTAGAAACAGCTGAAATTTTTTCTTTGAATCTCTTAGGTCTCAGTTTTGACTTGTTTTTCCTCCTCCTTTCCTCTGCAGGCAGGCATCATTAAAAAAAGAAAAAACAACAAAAAACAAAAACCAAACTTTAATGCCTAACTAAACTACTAAGAAACTGAAAGCAGTGAGTACCTCTTCCTTTAAAACCCTGCCTTCCCAGCCTGTTGTTGCAACTGCTGCATATTTAATAAGGCCAAGGCTAAAAGCCTTAGCTAGGCAGGATTACAGTAAAACCAGAGAGCATGAGGCTGTGCTTTTCACTGGGTGAACAGTCCCAGAAACTATAAGCAAAGATTGAGGCTGACATCATCGACTTGTTTCCTTTTTAAAACGGTCAAGGTCATTGCAGACTGTACAAGGATCATAAAAAGAAACAATTGAGCTGTGGAACACAAACCGGGGCTGGAATCTCTGCTTTGCTTATTGGTTCATTTTTAGACTTGTCTCTACAATTTGTGAACCTCAGTCTCCTTGTCTGCAAAATGAGGACAGTAACACCGAGTTGGCAGGACTATTTATTAAAGTGCTTGCAGAGCGTAACCAGGCATTACAGTATCTACTGTTTTTTAACCTCCCAAGGAATGGAGACTGTGTGTGTGTGTGTGTGTGTGTGTGGTGTGCATGTGTGCACAGGGAGAGGAAGAATGGGGGACTTCGAATGATTATGGATTAAATGAGAGGCACAACTTCTAAATTTTAAATTCAAGTATTTGGTCACAACAGT